TTTTCTCATAGGCGAAGCGTTTACACTCCAGAGCAGAAGGTGGCGGTACTGCGACCAAAGCCAACCACCAGTAGTAAACAAGAAGAAGTAGAAGAAGCGAAGCAGCTTAGCCGGGTGTAGCAGAAAAAAAATCTGTTGTTGTGGGGAATCGTGTGGGTATGGCGAGTGGGAAAGAACAGGAGTTGGAAGACGCGCCAGCAGCACTTTATAGATCTGCTGTATGGGAGCGCTTTGCATTTAGAGTGACCTACGATGACGGCGGAAAGAAAGTTGTGGATAAAAGTGCAACAATGTGCAAGCATTGTGCGACATGTTTTATTTATGCTAACAGCAACATGACCAACATGTCATGCTAACCCCAAAATCCAACATACTCCATCAGCGCCCCGCTGCGCACCAGACCGCCTGCACAAAGCAAAGCATACAGCCCCCACTGTGGCTCCTGTCCGCCCCGCTCTGAGTTCCTTGGGGATCGTAGAGGGCATGCGCGAGATGATTAAATTCAAAGCAGCAAAACATGCGGAAATGATCCATGGTTTCCGAGAATTATTAAAAATAATTACAATTCATAAATTTTTTGGGATTTTTTCATTGATTTCATAAAAATTTTAATTAATTTTTATTTATTTATTTATTTTTTGGTGTAACAATAAACATATACCGAACCGAAAACCGTGACTACGAAACCGTGAACCGAACCGTGGATTTTGTGAACCGTTCCACCCCTAGTATACACAGAATGTATACAATATGACAATAAAAATGGTCTAATTCTAACGTGACGGACATGTCAAAGGAATCTACTGAGCCAGTCATCATCATCTTTGATCCCAGCATTGTAATATTTATCCTGGGTTTCCTTTTTACCTGGTTTAAACTGTATCTTCACTCCAGCATCACTCTGGATCTTCTTTATCATCTCCCCACTGCGACCAATCACAACTCCCACAGACTGTCGAGGAACGGCGATCTGTGGGATTAGAAGGCAAAGATCTCAAGTCAAATATCACGTCTGAAGTATCAAAGAAAAGGTTTTTAGCTTTTAAATTGGAAATAATTACATCAATGCCACCCCCTCCCATCCTGGATCCGAATTCGTTCCTGTCTCCAAAACCAGAATGATCCCTTTCTCGTAGAATCTCGTTAACCATCTCCTTTGCTTGCTGAAAACGGAACACACAGAGACACACGACAGAGGTGGTAAGAAATGAAAGGGGACCAGGGACATGTACCCATTAATCCGATGCAACAGGGTCCAAGCAGTACCTGCACTTTGTAAGGGTCTCCAATGATGCGTAAGGGTTTGTCTATGTTGGGAGGCTGTGATCCGTCTTGGACAAGAATCATTTTAACTCCAGCTCGCTCCTAGAAAATTGACCAGAGGAAAACATAAAAGATAAAACAGCAGATTAAATATAACTCTTATTAATGCTGGACACATTAACAAGCAGGTAGCCCTGTGGATATTGAGCACAGAGACCCACCTGGAGCTGTTTGATTGTCTCTCCTCCTTTCCCAATGATTAGGCCAGCCTTCCCTGCCGGGATGATAATCTCTTGCATAGAGCCGGACTGACCATTGCTTGACTCGTGACCTCTGGACACTATGTCATCTATTAGAGCTTTGGCCCTCCTGGAAGAAAATTTGAGACAAAAAGCTGAAAAGGCTGAAGTGACGTTTAAGAAATTGTTGATGTTTCCTCATCAAATAATAGATTATTATTCTAACCCCAAGAATGCATAGAAAATGTAAAACGTGATCTGCCCCAGACCCAAGATAAGAAACTGGAAGACTCTTGGAGTCACCATGAATTTTTTTAAAACTGATTTAGCTAATTAGTGTCTTTCTAATAACCAAAGCTCAGCTTTAAATGGTAGAAATCAACTACCAATCCACTCAAACAAGAAAAGGACGGGAGAATTTCACAAAGCACAATTACACTGCTTTGCATAGGTCTTCAGTCCTCCACAATGATTTTAATTGTAGCTTAAAGATGTTTTAACTTCTCATATAGAGGCATTTTCATTGAACAGTTCATGGGTTTAAAGCTCCTGTCACACCTTATGCCTGACGTATGCCTGACGTCCAAGAAATCAGCTAAAGCGCTGGCATATGCTGAACTTTCTATGTATTTTTTTCTATTTTGGGCAAATAGATAACGCATTCTTAACGAGTCCAGAGAGCAATAAACAACTCCCTAAATTATGCATAACGCATAGCAGCTTAATGCCCATGAAATGTTACAATTCAGTGTCCTGAGGGGGGCAGCAATGCGCCTGGAGGCACCCGGCCTGCATAAAAACATTTAATTGATCGCGGTATTAACCTAGCTGCTGTTTACTGTTTGCAATAAAAGAATAAAGAAAAAGAAAAAAGGTTTGCAATCACAGCAGATTCAGCGTCATGTCTGCTAGGAAGTTTGTTGGTCATGGGCGTGAACGCAGGGAGGATCCATCACACCCACCCCAAAATGTGGATAAAGTCTGGAGGAGAACCGACGGTTTCCTCCTGTGAACCCCATTTCATACCAAAAAGTTGCCAATACGCCATTATACAGTAGCTGTACGTTAGAGACATGTTCAGCGGTCGCCTGGAACATGTCAGATACGTTGATATGCATTGGAGATAAGTTACACAAAAGTTATTCACAAGTTAATCACAGGTTTTGGATAAGCTAGATGCCACGACTTATGAGTAACTTACACTTAATGTATTTCAACAATCAGATAACTTACCTTTAACTTATGCCCCATGTATGAGCATAGGCTGGCATATGTCAAGAAATTTTCAACGTACACGTATGTCGACATGTTTAAGCGTACTTCAACGTGCTCATAACTTATACAAAACTGACCCATAACTTATCCAATGCCAGCATTTTTGCCAGATTTTTCACACGTCAGGCATATGCTGGCTAAATCGTCAAGGTGTGACAGGGGCTTAAGGTTCCAGACTAAAATGAAACAGATATTAAAACGTCTTATAGATTTAGGGTCCTTGTTCTTCTTCAGTCTTAATGGGAGTATTTTTGCAACCAACGACTCAAAGGAAGAGATAGATGAGTTAGTAGACATTTTAATCAAAGCTGTGGAGAAACAAAGAGGGCTCTAATGGAATCCATTTTATATTGCAGTTACCCATCCTTAAATAAATAATTTCAATTTTTAATGAAAACAATCCAATAAAAAATGAGAATTTAAAACTTTCCTGGATTATTATTTATATATATATATATAAACTTACTGAATAGCCTCTGGTGATCCAGTCAGAGAAATACCCCTTTCTGGCAGACCAACGCTATCTGTAAATTAATGCGAGACAATATATCAGTATATCACATTTAGAACCCTTTATAGTGGTGTGGTGTAAACTATAAACGACTCACGTATCTCACCATGTGCAATTTGGACCTTGCACCCAGAGTCATGCTGTATTTTGTTGATCTGTTCCCCTCCCCGTCCAATGACTGTTTGGAAGCCCCGAAAAGACTTTTTTAATTGAAATTGAAAAGATGCAACAGAAAAGTGAGTGAAGTATGTGCCTGTACTCACTGAGGCCAACCATGCTATCAGGCACCTTGTACTCCTCTGTCATAGTAGAGGGCCTGACACTGGAGATACAGGACATGAAAACAATGACTTTAAGATGTCCTCAATCTCTAGAGCAAAGATAGAACTGTTGAGAGTTGAAGACAAAGAAAAAAAGGCCTACCTTTGCTGGGACAGGGCAGCTAACTGAGCTCCAATTGCTGGAAGAGAAGGAGGAAAAAAAAGTGACTACAGGAAATTAGGAAAGCGAGAAAAGCAAAAACTTTTTTAGAAATCCAGTGAGTGTCTTTAACGTACACATTGCTGAATCTCTTTCACTCTGTGATGCTACTTTTTTGGCATCGGGCTCATCTAAAAGAACAAATATAAAACAAAAATAAAAATACAAAAAAAAAAAAAAAAAAAAAAAGGTGAGTGTATTCCTAACCGGCCAAAGCAAACCAACGCTTTCTTTGTTTTTGATTTCTTACCTCCTTCTTCCAGGGATCGTTTCTGTGCAGTGAAGGGATAATTTTCAGCTCCTCCGTTATTCGTCACTGTGGGCCCAGCCTCTCCGCCGATCTTAGCTGCAATCTAGAGAGCAGAGGGTTTTGGTTTACAGAGATATCAGTAAAATGTACTTTTCAAAGAAAAGGACCAGAATAATTCAAGCAAAAACTGGTTGTAAAATCAGAAGGAATTGTTGATATGTAGGACTAGACATGGCCTGTTCCTGGTAACAAGCATCTAAACAGCTGAAAGCCACCCATCATACTGTACCTACTGCTGGAAGTGCTTTTATTGAGATGTCCAATAAGTTCCCTGTGAGCATGATGCCGTTTTTGGTCATAAGTAACGATTTTTTTTTGTGCCAAACAACATTTTGGAGCTATGAAGGTCCCTGCTTTGTTTAAAAAAAGATTCTATAAGGTTTTAAGAGATGGTAGCAAGCCTTGGCTGTTTTCACAGGAAGAAATTGCCTCCGTCCTTAACTCTACTTCTAGATAAAGATTGAAAGACCTACAAAAACAAAGTGCAATAATTAATAGCCACTGCTCGTTCAGTGTTACTTTCTGCCGCTCGAGGCTGAACTTAACCTGCTTTTATATTAACTTACAGAAAGCCCTCCTGTGTTCAGCAGTTTGTAACTATAGCCAATAACATAGCAATGAAAGTCCATCTCACATGTTGCAAACTCAGAATTAAGTAGGGGAATTAAAATTGTATCTAAAAGTATCCTTTTATTTATTTATTTATTATATTTATATATATGTTTGTTATTGCCATTTTTTTTGTATTAATTACCATTTTCAAGGCTGCACTTTAAAAAAATGTAATTGTCTAGAGCTGTTTTAAACAAAATTTCTTTTGACAAAATAAATCTAAGTTTAAAAAAACATTTTTCAGAAAAACAGTTTGGACAGAAATATACATATTTGTTATGAAACCAGGGCAATATGTCCTCCTAGTTGATGATTGAAGAAGAAACCGTGATCTGTTATGGAAATCAGCAAACGCACAAAACTAAAGGCTGCACCATATCAGCCTTTTGGTATGTTGATCTAATCCAAGTGTTTTTCACCCTTCATTTTACAAGTTGGTGCTATAATTAGCCAGATGGAAGGAGGTTGACAGCAGCAGATACTGAAATGACATTGTCAGAAAGAAAATGCTGAAGATCCCAGAAAGATAGAAGCACAGAATAAATAAACAGGGATGGAATCTGAGCTGAGAATTATAAACACAAGAAAAATAATTGAAATTATTTTCAATGTCACCATAATGAAACAGGGTTACATTCAGGATTAAGGACTATAGAAATTAATCCTCATGGCCTCAACCTTTTATTACTACTATTTATAAACACGTCAAACAATCTCTCCAGAGTGATTAGTAGCATCTACAAAGTATAATTGGGAAAAGAACAATGATGACATCTTTAAACCAATGATGAGATTTTAAATTTATTTGCTTCACAAACATAAGAAACAGCTAAAATAAAGTATATTAACTCTCATGGTCCAGGTTTTTTTTCTGCAACATTCCCATCATATACGAGAAGATAGTTTGGAAGTCTCCAACCTGTTCCTTCTGTCTTAGATTGTTTTCTCAGCATTTAAATAAAAGTGTCTGATGCGACACGTTTGCGACATGTGTCCATTCAAAGCCTTAAAATGTTTCAGGACAAATCATCCCAAAATTATAATGTTTTGTTAAATACACCCATCTATACATGATCTGTTCTTTTTATTACACATCAGGCTAAAATACAGCATCCGATTGTTAAATGTTTCTTTTTTTTAGATCAGGCATTACGTGGAATGCTAAGAGATGTTCACGATGGCTTTATACAGTAATTTAGTTAACTTACCTTAGATTTAAACAAAGTATTGAATAAGATAGTTAAGACCACCATATATGTATAAACTACGGGCTAACTGTATGTTAATGTCTATATTTTTGTAAACTATTAATTAAAAGGGAATAGAGGAAAGACTGTCAATGAATGGCAACGATAAGCTAACGTCAGCTAGGCTAACAGCTAGCTAGTTTCCTCCGCTTCTTATGACTGACCTGTCTGGCTCGTTGTACGGCGTCTGCAAAGGCGTCTTTTTTCACCCCACCGCCAACACCGTTAGAAGACACTCCGCCGTAATCCGACATGCTGCTCTGAAGGAACAAACAGCGACAGAACCGGTGAGGCTTTGTCCCGGGTCAAAACTGCGCAGAAGCGGGAAGGTTACCAACGGCGGACGGGGGGCAGGAACCGTAGAGCAGCACGCCGGTAACAGAAAAAAGAAAAAAAAAAGAAAAAAATCCTTTCGACAGATGAACCAATAGCAGCGCTTCCTGCCGCAGACAGTTTTCTTCGGATGTCTTTTAGTTGGTTCAAATTACTGATCCTGTTCCGAACAGCGCCACTTTGTGGCGGAGAATAGGAATTAAATGAAAACAGAAATCAAAAACAACTAAAAAAAAAAAAAACATGTAAACTGTGTAAATATTATATAAATCGACAAGAAAATATACAATTAATTTCAAATGTTAGCTTTGGGGCCAAATGTTAAATACATTTCTAATATTTTACAAACTTTACAAAAATTATTTTTGCAATTCCGTCTTTCAATAAAGCTTAAATTATACTGCACCATTTCCCAACACCATCATGTGATGGCTCCTGAGAAAACAAACTGATCCAATTTGAATACAGAAACATAAAGTTCATTTAAATTGACAACTTTTCAACATAAAGCCCGACTCTTCAATCCCTCATACTGAACTTGCATGTGGAGACAGCCGAAATTTGAACAAAAAACTATCACTTCTTTCTTTTGGTTTCCTGCTTCGGCTACGATAGAGTTAACAAAGAACCGTATTAGAAAATGTTTGCATTTAAACTGGAAACTAAATATCTCACAACTTTATAGACAATCACACTAAACAATTATATTTTCTGACTCCAAAAAGAAAAATTATACAGTAAGTATATCTGCTCACCTGCAGTTTTAAGGTGGTCAGAGTCAGATGTAAAACAGCATCAAAGCATGGAGTCATTCTACATTGGCTCAGGCAGTGGTTTGGTTAAAAAGTTGTGTGGAGTATTTTTTTGGTAGGCTTTGGACCCTTGGTACCAACAGAATGCTGTTAAACGCAAACCTGAGCAGTCATAAGCTCTATGGGATGACTGTGGATTCACCTTTATGAACCCAAGAAATCATTCATTTAAAAAAAAAAAAAAAAAACTATGACCATGATGAGGGTTTTGGAATTTTTTTGTTTCAACTTTGTCTCCATAGATAACAGTACTCAATAAATAAACATAATACAACAGTTTTATTATATATCTAGGCAATTTTATTTCTAAAACAAATATTGCGTTCAATAACATCCCTGAGACTATATGAAATGTACATAAGGAGAACCAAGAGGAATTTCAAAATTACTATTTTTATTCAGTTATATTTTTTTTCCCCCAGAAACAGTGCTTTAATATCATGCTTATAATTTAAAAAGAAAACAATCAGTAGGAGTTGACCAGAAAAGCAGCACAGTGCATGCATTTGTTTGCACATACATATTTTTTAAACGGCAATAAATAGAACTTCTTGTTTGTGAAACGAGAAGTTAAACACAAAATTCGTCTTTTAATCCCAGTGATTAGGGAACATTATGTGGCAGTGGCCTAGGCCCAGTCTTTGAATTTACATACTGAACATGTTTTCTGCATAGACAGTTGCAGGGCAGCTCTTCGTAACTCTTTGTGCGTCTTTCCCCGTGTCCAGTCCATAAAGGCAGTTCTGTGTGCGTCTTTTTACCATCGTCTTTTTCCCAGAAGAAGCAATAATGATACTGACTGCTTCCTTTTTTAGGCTCTCACTGTGCTTTGGTAATGTGTGTTTAAGACTCAGCAGCAACCGCCTTCTCCACACCTGCAGGTTCCTTCCACAGCCATCCCTCTTCTCTACATCTCACCTGGTAGAGAAAACAAGGCTGAAGGAATGTAGAGCAGGCCAATTTCCAGAGGTGACTCCTTTTCAGCAAGTACATGCATGTCTCTGCCCATGCAGATCTGTGCAGCAGTGGCAGCCAGATGCCTCTGGTTAGCGTTCAGAAGCAACACATCACTCTAGAACATAGCAGCATCCTGTGCAGATGGAGGCTGTTTATTCATTACTTTATACAGCATCCATTTGTTTTATGTTGAAAAAGCAGGCGATAATGAGCTTTTGATTAATGTCTTCAGCGATTCAAGTCAATCAGCTCCCAGGTGTGGTTTGTAAGCCCAGCAGTGAGTTTTACGTCAATAATTGTGTCCATAATGGAATCATATTTGCACAAAGGTCTTGATAAGCCCATCTGAAAAGTCCTACTGAGTTATGCTCACCCCTCTTTTCCAAAAAACCTCTGGGGCTTTAAGAGTTCAGCCGGATTTATACTGAGGATAAATCACACACAGGTAGGATCTATTTACTAAGTTCCTCCTAAACTCCTTTGGTTGATGGATTTTATTTTAAGAAAATCAGAGGGAAAAAAGCTCCATAAAACTCAGTATACTCCACATTTATGCAGACTTTGTGCTAGTTTATGTAACATTGTCTGTAACATTGGCTACATGTGAACACGTTCTGTGAGTATTTTTGGCAGCATCTGTGTTTGCCCTTTAAGAACAGTTGCTTGCATTTTTCTTTCTATCTGCTGGTTTAGATATGTTTACTTGGAAGCTGCCTAAAGCTAAAATACCTCCATGTTTTCTTAAAAACCAAATGAAAAGACCTAAAAATAAAATGTCCACCCTCCTGCCCTTAGAAATATCTTAATCTCTTCTTCAAGACAAGCTGGTGGAGATGAAAGCAAGACCCGCTGTATTTAAACTATTCATGAATAAAGCCCATTTTTCATGCACTGACATCCCATCTGCACATGCTCGCAGATCAAAAATCACGGCAATCCCCGTCTCCTTAATCTACCCTTTCTGGTTTCCTCCCCTCCTACCCTCAATGTCCACTCCCAGCATAATCCTCGTATATTCGTAGACGACGTAGGACACGCTGACTGCTGGGATGATTTTCAGCAGGTTGGGGGAGATTCCTCGGTAGAGTCCGGCGATGCCTTCCTGCCGAAGGATGTTGTGAAGCAGGGACAGCATTGAAAGTTTAGGGGCCCCTCTCGCTGAGGCTGATGGGAAATAAAACAAAAAGAAAACAGGGTGAATTAAGCCAGATTATTGAAAAACAATGCTTTGTTTATAGAATTACAGAGTCTAGATAAGCATACATTTGTGAAATGTGAATTTAAAAACTGCATTATTAAATATTTGAATCTGGCTGGTGGAAAGTTTGGGTGGTCTTCTAAAAAGGAGAGCGTAGTTTAGGAAGTCCAGTGCTTTAATGTTGAAAACTTTGGATTTTAAATGCAAGTAGAACTGACAATTATGTGTTAACTAGTTCTTTTTAATAGCTTTTTTATTAAAATGAATAAGAAGATAATGAAATGGTTTGACCAATATTAACTACTAACTTTGAAAACTGCATCTTCTCCACAGCAAGAGGAGTCAGCTGAGGAGGCCCAGGACACGCTGGACGGACTCTAGTTTGGGGGGGGTAGAGGGTAGTGTGGGAGTTTCTGCTAAGAATGGCTCCTCTACAACCCGGTCCAGGATAAATGGAAGACAACTTTAGAAATAGTCAAGTACTGGTCTGTACTTGAGGTTTAACTTAGCTTATTTATGGCCAAGCATTCTCCTTTTCCTCCAGATCATCACTCTGCCACCACCATGTTTGACTATCAGCTTTTCCTATGATTTATGCTCATTTTTTTCCATTTGTTAAGAGGGTGCTTTCCTTTTCTCAGATCACAGAAAATCTCTAAATTTTTCTTCAGGATGTTTTATGGTGAATGGGAGACAAGCCTTTGTGATCCATACTTGCAGTCCTGACCTTTTAAATGGCACTGTAATCCTTTCCAGATCATTAGATGCGATTTAAAAAAATATATCTTTTCCTTCCTTTTTTTAAGACGGTGCCATGTTGAGATTTTTTAGATCTTCCGGCTTACTTTATGTTCTGTAACCTTCTTGATTCTACAGGTCAGAGAGTTTTATAGCTGGTTGTTGATAGTAAAGTTAAACTTAAAAACCTTTAAATAGGTTTTCATTTAACATGGTAAGAGTTGGTATTAAAAGCTTTCATCCTTCAATAAATACAGTAATCATCTGAAATCCACCTTTTGTATTTATATTCACCTGATAGGAATATAAATAAGCATTTGGTGAAGTCCACATGCCAGCAGCTTTTCTAACCTTCTGCTTGCATCCGTGTGCGGATCAATGCCAAAGGGTAACTAGCAAGCATCCCACACGTGCTGGAGATGGCGCCGCATCCCACCAACACCATCACCCCTGGGTCGGGCAGGCCTCTGTTCCTGTTCAGCCATGCAAGCTTCAGTGTCTGTGGAAAAGAAGGGTGAGTGGGGTGTTAACAGCGAGGGGAAACCCCCCACACCGACAGCCGTGTCTCTGTCTGACCTCGTACACTGCCAGGTCAATACCAGCATAAGGAACGATGCTCAGCATGTTGGGAACGTAGCCCTTATAGAAGGCTGCCGCTCCTTCCCGCAGCAGGATCTGTTTGGCACAGTCTGTTATTCCTGAGTACTGACCCGTTTTTCTGAGATTGAGGCGTGTCTTCAAAACCTGATGCAACAAACAGAGGAGTGCGATCAATCATTTATAAGCAACCCTAAAGCTGAATCTGTTAATGGCATCCAATGATTCCTTCACATTGAACCCATTACCTCCATTGGGTAAATGGCTGTCTGAGCTGTAGCTCCAGCCAAAGAGCCAGCAACAAACCTCTCATGGACCCTCAGAGTTCTCGTCTCGTCACGGCCATGCATCATGAGTTTTATCTATGCAGAATTAAAGGACATAAACAAGGAGATCATGGTTTAATTTGGGAAATTCAATTGGGGAAACATAACTTTTTTAGTTTTTGTGTGTGTGAGATGATCTCATCTAGGTGAGGTTTGCTGTGAATAAAAGAAATGAAATAAATCACAGAGGGCTGAATGAAATCAAACTGAACTGAAACAAAAAAAAACATTGTGATCGGATGTGATGATGTGAGATATGGTGTATTGTATTTATTCATTAGAGAATAGAATAGAACCATTTCCACAGCTTACTACATCTTAAGATGTTTCAGGCAATAACCAGTTCAATTAAGTTTATTTAAATAGCACCATTTCACAGCAAATGTCATCTAAAGACACTTGACAGAGAAAATTCAATCAAATTATACAAGCAGATTGGTTAAAAGTTCCTATCTAAAGTCCTAACTACTCACTGCTCCCCAAGGGGATGCGGTAAATGCAGAGGTATATTTCTACAATGTGAGATCAATAAAAGTCAATTATTATTAATATCTACACCCTTATAAAGTTTTTTATTTTTTTTATTGAGGCTTCAGCTTCTCTTATTCCATTACTATAAAATTAAAGTTTTGAGAAAAATATTTTGCTGCCGTACTCAGCAGATTAAGTTTCTGCATTTTTTTTCCCTTTATCCTGAGCTCACAGTACATGATACTTCTGCTCCTAGATAGACCTATTTTAACAACATTTGATATATATGGTTTAGGTGATACTATGTAGAGGAAAAAATATATATTTTGTTCATAAATATCTGCACATAAGTTCAGATACAGATAGAAAAAGCAACCTTTAGAAACCAATAAGTGTCTCAAAGGTGGTCACCTGTTCATAAGCAGTGAATTTGATGGCTGTCTCAGGAGCAATTTTCAGCACATTGACTCCATTTCCTCTCCACAGAGACCAGGGTCCTCCCTCTTTCAACATGTATTGAAACCCGCTCAGAGCGTTCCCTTTAAAATCAGAGGAGCCATGTACCTGCCGGAGAGAGCAGGAACAACTATTGTTAGCTGTACCGCTGATTTAAAAAAATCACACATTGCAGTTCAAGATAAAATATTAATTGATACATAGAAGCAGAACCTGTCTGAAGACTTTGAGGCGTTCTAACGGAGCGGTTCCAGTTCTGGATACAGATCCAGCCATGACTCCAGCCATCAGCTGGCGCCACACATACCCAGACTTCCTTTCTTCTTCTGAAAACTCCTCTGGGACTGTAAGCTGCTCGCCTGTATCCAATATCTACTGAAGAAATGTAAAAGTTAGAATAAATTTAAGATGTTTTTTTGTTCCTTGCTAAGATCCCTGTCACTTAAAGAGTTCTGCATGACTGTTTTACCATTGAACGCTTCCAGAACCGAGCCACATCCTCCATGTTGTTCAGAGGGTTGAACAGGAAGTGGTCACGCCACTCATTCCAGTCAATCGTCATGGTACCATCCCTGTCCATGCTGAAGAAAAACAACATTTGTTAAAGGCCACAGTAACGGAGAGGCTGTCATTTAGACACAGATGATCTGCTGGGGTAACAGAGCAAAGGACTTAGGAAAGATAAAAACAAGCTGATGATGAAGGTTGGGACTGTTTTAGGAACTCCTCTGGAGATGATTTCCATCTATCCATCATCCATTTTCCATCAGGCTTATCCCTGCTGGGGTCGCAAGGGGTGCTGGTGCCTATCTCCAGCTGTCAATGGGCGAGAGGCGGGGTACACCCTAGAGAGGTCGCCAGTCTATCGCAGGGCCACAAAGAGATAAACAGGACAAACAACCTCTCAAACACTCACACCTAAGGAGAATTTAGAGAAGCCATTTAACCTGACAGTCCTGTTTTTGGACTTTGGGAGGAAGCCGGGCTACCCAGAGAGAACCCATGCATGCACAGGGAAAAAATGCAAACTCCATGCAGAAAGACTCTGGGCCGGGAATCGAACATAGAACCTTCTTGCTGCAAGTCAGCAGTGCTACCCACTGTACTACTGTGAAACCCGAAGTCGATTTCACAAAGAAGAATTCTCCATAAAATGAGAAAACATTGCAGACATCTTAGACTCCTTGTGTTAAACAACGACAGAGTCTTCAGTCAGCCTACAGTGATCAACATCTACATGTTTGGTTCCTTCAACTTGTATACTAACAGGGATTTTATTTTTTCAAAACACCTTCTGTCTGTCACTACCTGCACTATATGTAGGAGTATTCCCTGGCGCCGCACAATGGCAGCCCACTGCTCCCCAAGGGGATGGGTTAAATGCAGAGATAAATTTCTCCAATGTAAGATCAATAACGTTCACTTATTATTATTATTATTATATTATTATTATTATATTATTATATTCTAGAAAGTAGCTGGTCTTCCCAGTACATAAATCTTAAACTAACATTTATTCCAGTCCAGCCGGTTTACATGCACACTGAATTATTCGATTATTAAACATGCATCTTTAAAGACTGTATAAAGAGAATTCCCCAATTTTCTCCTAAACACATTATAAATGTCCACTTGAAAACGTCTTAAAACCTTTTATGATTGCACTGTGGTGCTATAAGTAAATTTGGGTTTCAATATTCCTATAATTTTTTAAGCATGTCTAAAAGTGTGCATCAATGTCATCAAGTAGCCGCCTTCAGCATAGGCCCGCCCATAGGACTCTTCTGCATACTATCATCTCAGTGCCTGTATTTAGCACCTTTGGCAGATAGCACACACACACACACACACACACACACACACACACACACACACACACACACACACACACACACACACACACACACACACACACACTGAACTGAACATAATTTAAATGTAATATTTAGCACAGCATCATTGCTAAACAGGAATCCATAACTGAATTTAATATGCTGATGAAGGTTCTCAGTCATCCAGGTCAAAGTCATTCCGTAAAAATTAAATTTTTACGGAACTGAATTTAATTATATTTATTGTAGGTTTTTGATATCTATTGCTTTTATCAAAACCAACAGCTACCGCTGTTATGTAAAAATATTTTGGAATTAATATTTTCCCCAATTATATTAAGACAGATGTTTTCCTGTCCAAGTTTGGGTCTCCACAAAGATTTGTTACCAAGCGATTATTCTAGTATTCAGCCGACATAAATTTTGTTCAATCATAAATGAATGAAAATAGGAAAAAGATCAGCCTGATTTTAAACAAGATGGTCCCCATAAGTGTTCTGTATCTTTTTCTATCGTTTATGCGAATATCTATATGTGGTGTAAGGAATGATGTGATGAACAGATTAGACAACAGACCTCAGCAGAATCCTATTGGCATCTTTAAGGCTGATGTTTACACCGATGCTGTGCAGAAAGTCCCGAATCTCCGCAGCGTCGATCTGACCTGCAGTTACCCATGCACAACAATGAAATTAGAAGGTATGGGTTAAAATAAAAATAAAGAAAATAACAGAGGTTCATTAATCTTTAAGCTTTCTCCTTCCAGCCACAGACCGTCATTGTTTCTGTCCAGATTCCGAAACATGATTTTAAGCTGCTTCTCGTGGTTACGAAGATACTGAATGAACTCCTCAAAATCCAGGACTCCATCCCGGTTGGTGTCTCCGGCCTCCACCAACTGAGAGTGGGGAAAAAAAAGGAAAGGTAATAAATGATAGAGGCCAGGCATTCAGTAGGAAAATTACAGCAGGTCAGAGGGCATGCTAAAAACAGAGATTGTCAGGAGATGGTTGAAACAATGCAAGGGTACATAACAGTATCCTAAGCTGTGAGCAACTCACAGGGCTCTGCTCAGTCTTTTATCTTAAAGAGCAAAGAAAAAGACGACATTACGCAGCTACAAAGAGATGGCAATCAACATAAACGTGTCAGGGTTCTGCCCTCGGTTTAAGTTTATATTCTTTGTTGTGCTTTGTCTTTCTTGAGTCACTCTCTGCTGCCCCCTTGTGCCCGTTTCCTTCCCCTTGGCTCCCTTCTAGTTTGTTCTATTCACACCTGCTCCATAGCCCTCATAGCTCATTAGCCCATTCTTTGTCCTGTTCCCCATATATACACCACCTCTGCAGTTCCTCAATGCCGGTTTCTTGTTGTTGCTTGGCTCCCTGTGTCTGTTTTTCCCTGGATTTTTGGGGGTTTTCAGTATTTTTGCTTATGTTGCCTTTGGGGATACCATTAAATCTGCAAACTCACCTTTGCCTCCTCATCTCTGCATTTGGGTCATCAAAAACTTTAACTCAACGGTGACAAAACTGTCAGACAAAGCAAGAAGCAGGTAAGGAGCCCTGGGCCCGTGAGATGCTTCAAAAGATTTGAGCCTGAGTTGGAGGTTCTCCTTCCAGCAGGGCAAAGACTTTAAACTAACAGCCATTGAAAGTTTATACCTTTGCTGCACTGTGAATACATGGGAAGAAAATATCTGTTTAATCCATCAAATCAGACTGAGCTAAATGATCATTTGAATTGTAAAAACAAAGAGAGGCATGTCCTTAAAAAGTGCAGCAAGGGAGCTGAACAAAGCATTAACTCATAGCGGATGAATACATTGCATATCACATAATTCAGATGTTTATTTGTTCATTATTTTGAAAACTATTGTTTCTCTTTTGACTCTACAATTATCCCCAACTTTATGTTGACCTATCACTCCTCCAAAAGAACACATTTAATAGCATTTAAGGTGGAACAGTGGGTAGCACTGCTGCCTTGCAGCAAGAAGGTTCTGGGTTCAATTCTCAAAGTTCGAGAAGACAGAAGCAACCCTTTATTTATTGTTGTTTCACAAAAAGAAACAGTATGGCCTTTAAGAGGCCCTGAAGTTCATCACTGAAGATGGCAGTGAGTATGAGGGATGTGAAAGTAGATCTAGAAGATTCTAATTACAACCCTGATAAAGGCATAGAGAGAGAAGAATCAAGTGGGGTCAGTTTAATGCGTTTAATGCGTTTCCATATTTAGAAACAAAGTCACAGTTGAACAGCATGAACTCTGGGTTGGAAAAAGACGCTGTTAAAGAATAAATATTTTCCTGGAGAAGGAAACCTTTTGAGACCCCTGAGCCTAAATTTAAAGGAACACGTGCCCTACCTGATGAGGTTCAGACCCCACTGGAGTACAACAGACAGTTCAACCTAACACACAAATGTTTTAAATGTCAATGTGTAGAAACACGCGTTATAAATTAACATGAAAATAATAAGCCATAAAAAATCAATGGAAAGTAAAAAAAGAAAAAAAAAAGTATCTGTAAGAATAATAATGAAAAATACATTAAAGGATTTAAGGAGTACAAAAGATAAAGGTCACTATTCTCAGCTTACAAGAACAGCCTCCCTAGCCAGAAATAACCAACATGCTGGCCTTCATATGCACAACTCTACCGCCTTACACACTTTTCACCTGTTCACTCACTTTAGCATGGCACCAAAAAGGAGCAATAAGGAGAAACTGTTAACCTGAAAAAAATAAAAAGGTACCACAGATTGAGAGGGGCTAAACAGTCTGTGTTCACAAAACAGACATGCTACTGATGTTCCTGTACAAACTGTACACAAACAACCCGGAGAGAACATGGTTCAGGGGGCTTTACTGACTAAAAGAGTAAGACATGCACACACATACATAAAAACAAAATTTATATTTCAATTCATATAAAGACTTTACATTGAGTTAAATGAATGTAATTTGATAATAATAATAATAGGGAGCAGTGAGCTGCAATCGTGGGGCATCCGAGGAGCAGTGTGGGATTAAGGGTCTTGCTCAGGGACCCAGAGTGCAGGCTGTGGGGATCTACCAGGTACTTAGCAACTTTCTCAGAGCACGTGCATACTGCTCTAACCACTAAGCTAACACTCCCCCATTTATTGCATTTATGCCTTAACCCTGACAGTTCACCTAATATATTCCTAACCCTGACCTAAATTTAATCCCCACCTTACCTCTAATCTCAGTCTCTATGGTAAAAATGGGGTCTGCCATATTAGGAACAACCATCAGTCCCCATAAGGCCTTTTGGTCATCAGAAGGTTAGTTAATGTACCAAAAAAGTCCTAAATATGTAATATTACAATTATAAACATACCAGCAATTTAACTAAACCTCAGCAAGTGAAAGCATTGATTTTCTTAACACCAACATTAAGCTGTGCTGCAAACACAGCTTAATGTGTAGAATGGGTCCCTGTAGAACTGGGTCCGCTCTGTTGAGGATCAACAAACCCACACCTTCTAAACTTCTATTCATCTAGTCATTGTTGTACACCAATTACAGAGATATTCTTAGTTGCATTACTTTACAGAGACATGCTTAGATGCAAGTTGCATCACATCTTTATTCTGTGTTTGTCATTGACTTTTTTTTTCTTTAAGATGCAACATAACAAAACATGGAAACAATCACAAACTAATATTTTCTAAAGGAAACTTCGGATCATCAGTACTATCTTTACCTTTCAGCTAATATGACTCTAGGGGTGCAGCATTCTATTATTTATTACTTTATTATATGGACGACTCCTATATGTGCCAAAAAAACCCATTAGTATCTACCATGAATAAAACTGTTCAAATTCCTCAAACAAGTTCAGTGGATCTTTCAAGATATGTTTAAATAAAATAAAGTTCTGACATTCTTAAAAAAAAAAAGTGATTTCCTCCCATATTTATCTCAGTGAAGCCTAAACCATTAAGAAAGTCTGAGAAATTCTATTTTTGGGAACTAAAGCTGTGATTTAACATTCTGATAAATAAAAAACATACAGATGTAAAAAAAAAAAAAAAAAAAAAAAAAAA